GTTCGCCCACCTCCCTTCCCGTCCCCTTCCTCCTCCATCCCCTCTCCACACTCACCTGTGTGGTTTGCCTTCTGTCTGTCTCTCCAGCCCCACGTCTGTCTGTCTTGCACCTATGGGGAAGCTTGCTTGGTGCTCCCCGCCCTTCTCATCATGCTCTCGTTGGCCCCCCCCGAAGGCGGAGGGTTGCCCTGCACTTGCTTTTTCAGAATGGCTGATGGGTGGGGCCCGCGTGTTCAGACGGTGCTTCTGGGCTGGGGCGCCGCGTGCGTGTTGAAGGGACCCTCTGTCCTCTGCACGCCCTGTAGAGGCCCCTCCTTGGTCTCCTCCCTCGGAGGGCGCCCGGGCCTGCCCATCTTGTTTTCTTCCTGAGGCTGTCATGTCTTTCTTTTGTCCTCAGCGGGTCACCTCTCTTGTCTTTGTCCTTTGTGACCCTTGTCTTTGTTTTCTGGGCTGAGACTCTCTCTCTCTCTTTCTGAGTCAGTTCTTGCAACTCTGCTTGTGGACTTCCCACGTAGGGACAAGTGCTTGCGACTCTGCAGTTCAGGGCTTTGCTCTGCTTCGTGTGGGGTGTGTGGGTGTCCCTCACCTCTTGGCAGGTGTCCCTGCTCTATTCTTTGTCCCTCACCCCCACCTCGTTAGTGTCTGTATCAATGCTGGGCAATTCTTTCACTGGTCTTTTTTAAAAAAGTTTTAAAATCTTTTTTTTTATTCTAGTAAAATATACATAACATAAAATTTGCCATTATAATCGTTTTTTTTTTTTTTAAAGTGAACTCTGCAGCCAGTGTAGGGCTTGAACTCATGACCCTGAGATCAAGAGCCCGCCAGGCGCCACCCACTCCAACCACTTTTAAGTGTATCATTCTGTGGCATTCGATGCATTTATAAGCTTGTGCAGCCACGACCACCGTCCACCTCTAGAACTCTCCTCTTCCCAAACTGAAGCTCTGTCCCCGTTGTACACCAGCTCCCGTCGCCCCACCAGCCCGTGCCTCCATTGTTCTACTTCCTGTCTCAGAACCCGAGGCCCCCGGGGACTTCCTACTGGTGAAGTCACACAGCCTTTGTCCTTTGGTGTCTGGCTGTTTGCATTTAGCACCGTGCCTTCCAGGTTCATCTGTGCTGGAGGGTCGGGATTTCCTTCCTTTTCAAGGCTGAGCAGTAGCGCGGTGGAGGGACCACATCTGTCCCCCCGTTGTCCACAGACACTTGAGTTTCTTCCGTGTTCTGGCCACTGCCAACGTGGTTTCCGTCCCTTCCTTCAATTCCTTTAGGTATCTGCCCACACGTGGCGCTGCTGGGTCACGTGGGAATGCTGTCAATTTGCACACCCACCGGGAGTGCATGCGGTTCCCTTTCTGCACATCCTCTCCAATTCTTGTTGCTTCCCGGGTTGTTCTGACAGTAGCCGTCCTTCCGAGTGTGAGGTGGCACCTCGCTGTGGCCGTGGCCTGCGTTTCTCTGACACACGATGCTGAGCGTGGGTCCGCGTCACACGTCTTCTCCGAGGGAATGTCTGTGCGGGGCCCTTTGCCCATTTGTAATAGGACTGGACCTTCTGTTGTTGAGTTTTAGGAGGTTTCTTTATATGCTCAGTATTAATCCCTTATCAGACGTGCCTGGCAAACGTGTGTCCCCGGTCTGTGGGTTGCCTCTTCACGCTGCTGATCGTGTGCTTTGATGCACAAGAGTCTTTAATTTTGATGGCGTCTGATTCATCTTTTTTTTTTTTTTTCTTCTTTTTCCTGTGCTTTTGGTGCCACACTGAACAGCCATGGCCACGTCCAGTGCCACGGAACTGCTGCTCTGTGTTTCTCTCTTGAGTTTTAGACTTCGGCTCCCATGTTTGATCTTTTTTTGCGCTAATTTTGTGTATGGGGTTAGGTAAGTGTCCAGCTTTGTTTTGCTGCGTGCGGATGTCCAGTTTCCCAGCCGTGTGCTGAAGGGACTGGTCTTCCCTGTTGAGTGGTCCTGGACCCTGGTTGGAATCACTCGACTGCATACGTGAGGGTCTGTTTCTGGCCTCTCTGGTCTTTGCCGCTGGTCTGTGTGTCCGTCTTTATGCCGACATTTATGCCGACATCACAGTTTTGATGACCGTAGCTTTGTAGTAAGTTTTAAAATCAGGAAGTATGAGGCCTCCAACTCTGTTCTTTTTCAGTATTGTTTTGGCTCTTGGGACTTTATTGTTCATTTTGGAACAAATTGTTTTTTTTCCCTGGATCAGTCCTCGTAAGACTCTCCCTACCCCCTTCTCAGAGAGGTGGGGCAGGGGGTGCCTAGAGGGGAGCAGCCTGTGCCCGCAGGCCACCCATCTGGGCACTTCTCCCCATAGTCACGGCTGCTGTGCTGACATAGCCCGACCGGCCTCTCGGGCTGCCGCTGACATCCCTCCTTGCCTGGCTCTGTTCTCAGTGACTCAGGGTTAGTCTGTGGTGTTCAGGGAACGTGAGGTCCTTCCGAGACCTGCCCCTGCGCTGCTCCCCCCCTCCCCCGCCACTCTGATTCCCTGCACTTCCTCCTGTGAGGACTCTGCTCAGCTCACCTGCTCTTTGTGGGTTTTTCCTGTGTTGTAGTTATTTCTTACTTCCTCTGAATATGAAGTGTTCAGTTAGTTTTAAGGTTTTTGTTTGATTACCTTTTGGTGGGGGGAGGGTCATTCTCCTCACCATTGTAATGTGATTTCTGGGAGGAAATAGGAAAAACTATGCTCAGTTCATTTCCTTGTATTCAGTGATCCAGACTGTGGGAAGGAAAACAGGTCGGTGTGGTTCCCGTGCCTGTTCCGGTGCTGGCACGTAGGACTCATCCACACCCCGGCCCCCTTCTGCCATGACAGAAGGGCCACCAGCCCTGCAGGGCTGAGCTCCAGGCTGGAGAGGCTGGCCCTGTGGGGGCTGGGAGCTGAGTGGGCCTGTTTCAGTCAGCACCGTGGACAGCTCCAGGGTGTCCCTGTGGGAGCCTCGGAAGTGGGGGTGCCTCCGTCCCGGGCAGCCCCTCCTGCCCACAGGGATGCCTCCTCCCTGCAGACCCCAGACCCCAGGGGCAAGTGGCTGGAGGTGCAGGTCTGTCCTGGTGTCAGAGCCACTGGCCTGGCACTCGGTACGAGCAGCTGGGGCGTGCAGTCAGGGGAGGGCTGTGGGGTATTGCTGGGGGCTGGGGGTGAGGGAGAGCTCTCCTTTCACCAGGAGACGCCTCTTGGGTGGGTCTGTGTTTTCAGTGCTGTGGTGAAGAGTGTGGGTTTAGGGGCCCTGGCCTGTGCCTGCTGCCTGCCACCCTGGGCGAGTGGTGGCACCCCTCTGTGATTTAACTCTGCCATCTGTAAAGAGGGGAGCCCCACTTCCCCTGCCATCTTCCCTGACACCTTGTTGCAGCCGTTGCCCCCTCCAGCAGCACAGGTCTCTGCTCTTCAGCTGGTACCCTGCTGAAGTTCCTCCCGTTAAAACAACAGACAAAGTGCCACCAGCCTCCCATCCCTGCTGCAGGCGAGGAGGGGTGCTGATGGCCTGGGCGGTGGCCCTGGGGCTGGTGGCTCATGGGAGGACAGGACACTGCAGTGGGGGTGATGGCAGGTGGCAGTGCCGGGGGTGTTTCCTGGCGGTCCTGCTGCTGTGGGGCTGCTCCTGCTGGGACAGTGTGATGGGACAGCGGGATTGGAGGTGAAGCTGGACACATATGGCGTTGACGGTGCTGGTGGTGGTGACGGTGCCTGCTGGGAGAAGGCCCCGTCCCGCGTCTCCCCTGCTCCCCCTACACAGGGCTTCCTCACTGTGCCCCCAGCGCCCTGCGTCCTCCCTCCCTGAGGGGGAAGGTGCTCCGGGCACGGGGTCATACAGGGGGTGCCGTCACGAGTGAGGTTTTTGTGTGCCCTTGCCCCCTTTCCCTGTGACCGGTGGACTCGCCCCTCCGCGCCTGGTCCCACACAGAGGGGTCCTGGGGCTGTGCTGTCCTGCCGGCAAGCTCTTCCTGGTGCTTTGGCTGTCCTTCCCTCACTGGCCTCTGTGCGGAGAGCTGGGGTGTGACGCCCCGGAATGGCTTGAGCTGCAGCCTGACGGTCGGGTCCGATGGCGGAGGCCCAGTGGGGTGGGGCCAACACAGGCCTTGGCGGGACAGGGACCTGGGTCTGGATCCTGCCTTGGCCTCTGATAGGGCTTCCTGGGCAAGTTCTTGTTCTCCCCGAGCCTCAGTTTCCCAGCCGTGAAGTATGACAGTTAAGGTTCCCTTGCCGTGGGTCCGAGGGTTAGATGGTGACCGGTCCAGCTGTGCCCACGCCCAGCCCCCGCTCCGACCCTGCCCCCGCTGCCTGCCCCCACCCCCGCCAGAAGTCTCTGGGCCTCGCGCAGCTGTGTGGATGGCTCCGCCCCCACCCCTGTGACTCAGGCTGCCTCCTTGCTCCTTTGCTGCCACCATCCTGGGCGAGGGCTCCGCTGGTGGGGCAGGCAGCTGGGCGGTGGGCCGGCCTCCCGTGGCCTTCCCGGAGAGGGGAGCGAGGGCTGGGGCGGGGGCGGCGCGGCAGGTGGAGACAGAGAAGGGCGTGCTCGGCTGGTGTCCTGACCGCCCCTTGGTGCCGTCAGCCATTCTGTTGCTCCGCGGCCCGTTCTGGGCGCTGTTCCGCGAGGTGCCTGGGGTGCCTGGCTGGCATTCTGCGTGACGCGGAGTCCACGTTGCTATAACAACGCTCCGAGGCGTGCCATCGCAGCTCCCCCAGCTGGCCTCCTCTGCCTCTGGCTCTGTGGTGCACACGGGCGCACATGTGCGTGGGGCCGAGCATTTGGCCCGGGCGTGGGGGTGGGGGGGGAGGGCAGAAATCGGTCAGGGGGATGGTGGCCTGAGACTGGGTGAGAGCATGAACTGGGGCTCTTTGACTCCGGGTCTTTGCGCCCAGATGCACCTTAGAGAGGTGAGGGTGTGTGCCCAGGTCCCCCGTGGGAGGGGACTCGCTCTGGCCCGCAGCCAACTCTCCCGCGGAAGGAAACGAACATCAGTAGTCACGATTCCCCAACACCTCCCCTCGGGGAGGGGTTCTGGGTTCCGGCCGGCCGGCCTGAGGCGGCAGCATCCGTGGGAGCCGGCAGCCACCCCCTGGCCACACACACGGGCCCACCTTGGCAGACAGACGGCTGGGGGACCCGCTTCTGCCCAGTTGCCTGGTGGTCTGGGGCAAGTTCTACCCCCTGGGCCTCCACCAAGGGTCTCCTGTGGCCAGGACCTGCGTGATGGCTGCGCCTGCCTCGTGGGAATGAGTCGGGTGGTAACGTCTGGGAAGGTCTCGTCGGGCCTGTCGCATCAAGGTGGTTGTGTCCACGCTCTTACTGTCAGGAAAACCTCGTGGAGGAAAAGAAGGAAAGCGCCAGCCCTCAGTCTCCCTGCCTCTGCTCCCTAACACTGCCGCCAGCCCCGAGCCCTGCGTACGCCCTGACCTCCACCACGGGTGCCCCCGCTCCCGTTTGGAGGCCGCATTGGGTGTGGGAAGGAGAAGGCGCGGACACCTGGGCCCGGCCAGCAGTTGGCTCCCTTGGTGCCTCATGGCCCCGGCACCCGGCTGCGGGAGGGAATAACTCATCTGCAGACATTTACGGAGTGGGCCAGGTGCCAGTGACGCAGAAGTGGCTGAGATGGGGCACCGGCCGTGGGCCACTCACCATGTGGCCCAGCCACTTGCCGCTGGTGACCAAATCGGGGGTCAGCCTGGGCTCATCCTGGGCCAGGCCGTGGCCTGGGTGGGGACCAAGTGTCCCCAGTGAACGTCTTTCCCAGGGAGCAGAGATGAACAACACGGGGCGGGCCATTTGCAGAGGTTCGCACTACGTCGAACCACATATTGGCTGCTCCAGATCCTTGCTGCCCGGGGCAGCTCCTGGGGCACCGGGCAGCCTGTGCCCAGTGCTGGAGTGCCAGGGGTCCCTCAGCCAGCACAAGGACTCGAGCTCGCCGCTCCGGCCCCGGGGACGCATCCGTGACCAAGGCTGACCCATGCCATGGCCCGGATGCCTGTGCATACCGCCGCCCTCCAGCCCCTCAAACTGTCCTGTCCTCCCTGTTGTCCTGCCCTGTTGCCCAGCCCAGGAGCGCTGATGTGTGTGCCTGGTTAAGTGAGGGCATTCGTTTTATTTCTCCTGAAAATAAGAAGCGACGTGTGCCTGGCAGAGAACTCGGAAAGCCCGAGCAGCTCACACCCTGGGTGCTGGGACCCAAGCGAGGTTCATGTGCCCACGGCCTCCCCTGACCTGCCACTCAGCCGCAGAGCTCCGAACAGTTCTGTGACCGCCTAGACGTATGATTTGCCCCCCTGCAGGGCACCTGTTTAGCGCGTGCGCTTCAGCGGCTGTAGCACACTCACGGGTTGTGGTTGCCGGACGCTTTCACCCCTGCAGATGGAAACCCCTGGCCCACAGAAGTCACTCCCGTTCCTGTCTCTCATCCACCTGCCAGCCCCTGGTTTGCATCTGTCCGCATAGGCTCGTCTGTCCTGGACATTTCGTAGAAGTGGGATCTGCCCTCGCGTGGCTCTCTGTGGCGTTCACAGCTGTCCCGCTTCATCTGCCAGGGTGGCGGTCTCATCCGCCTCTTCCACGCGCTGCCTTGACCGTGACGGAGCTGACGGACGGCGACGCTCTCAGCTCTCCTGTGCTGGGTGTGGTGAGTTTTGAGGGCTGTGTCCGCCCGTGAAACCGCCACCGCCGCCGTGGTCAACGTTCCCGCCCACCGGCAGGTCCCCCCGCACCAGACGCGAGCGCTGCCTGTTCTAGAATTTCACATTCGTGGTGTCGTACCACGTGAACTCTCCGTGGTCTGGCTTCCCGTGTGTGACGCGACGTCCCCGGGTGTCCTGTGTCTGCAGGCCCACCATCTTCTGGAGGGCGGGTGCGGGTTTGTCTCTTCCCCCGTGGGGACACTGACCCACCCGCCTGTGGTTTCCCCCGGGCTTGTTTCTCGGGTGGCTGGGCCGTGCACGTTTCTTCTTTGGGTTTTCTGCACACATCCTGGCTGGTTTTCATCACCCTCGAATGTGTTTAAAGATCAGTTTGTAGGGGTGCCTGACGTGTGAGCGTGAGCAGCCTCTGTCCCGTTGTGGTGCGGGTCTTTCTAGCGTTGCTGCCTTTTAAACTTGCCGCTGTTGCATTTTGATTTACAAAATCTTTTTTAAATGTAATACGCTGCCAAATGTGTTTTCTTGTGTGTGTATGCGTGTGTGTGTTTAACATTACTTTTGTATTTCTGAGATGTGTCTTTTGGGTTGCTTTAATCTTTTATTTATTTTTATTTTTTATTTTATTATTATTTTTTTTATTTTAGAGAACGAGTGAGTACAGGGGAGGGGCAGAGGGAGAGAGAGAGAGCGAGCATCTCGAGCAGGCACCAACGTGGGGCTTGATCCCCAGACTGTGGGATCATGACCTGAGCCAAAACCAAGAGTCAGATGCTCAACCATCTGAGCCACCCAGGTGCCCCTAATGTTCTATATTTAATACGTTTTTAAAATCTTGGGGCGCCTGGGTGGCTCAGGCGGTTGAGCGTCCGACTTTGGCTCAGGTCACTATCTCATGGTTCGTGAGTTTGAGCCCCGCTTTGGACTCCGTGCAGACAGCTCAGAGCCTGGAGCTGCTTCTGATTCTGTGTCTCCCCTGCTCATGCTCTCTCTCTCTCTCTCTCTCTCTCTCAAAATAAATAAACATTAAAAAAATTCTTTTAAATCCTCAACCCTTTGGTCCTTGTGGATTGGCTTTGTTTAGGTTTTAGATGAGGAACCAGTTGGCTTGGTGTCTTCTGGATCTTCTGTGCTCACCGGTGTGTCAAGCACGGGGTAAGGGAGGACACTGTGGCCTAGTGGGGGGAGGGGTGAGCTCCGGGAGGGGAGGGCCCCTTCCTTGGCGCCTGTGTGAACTCCAGTGAGCATCCGTCCCTCCGTCCCTCCGTCCCCCCATCCGTCCATCGCTCCGTGTGCCTGGAGTCCTCGCTGAGGAAGGCGGTCGGGCAGGGCCCCTGCGGGTGGCTGTGAGCTCAGCAGTCACTTCTCCTCGACCCTGGTCTGCGGCTGCGCCCCTGCCCAGCCTGGGTCCTGACGGGGCCGCCTGAAGCCGCTGCTTCCCCAGGGCAGGTGGACTGTCAGCTGGAGTGTCCGCTGGTGGGTTTGTGCGTTCCTCATTTGCACCCTGCGGGTGGCAGGGCCTCTGGTCCTCAACTTGTCCTGTCCCTGCACCTTCCCCAGGACTCAGGTCTCCCTGTGAGGGATGGCAGGGACGGGCGCTCCTTGTGGCCCCGGTGGCTGAGCCTGTCTCGCTGTCCCGCACTCACTCCTGGGCGGCTCTGCGGGACGCCGAGTGCACACAGCGGGGACAGGAGCGGCTCTGTCCTGTCACAAGGCTGGCGAGTGACACGTGGGGACCTGGGCCTGGGGCTGTCCTGTAAAAAGGGAGCTGGTCACCAGCCTCCCGCCTGGGGTACCCCCTCCTCCCTTCTTCCGTCCACACGTTGTTCTTCCTTTGCTGTGGCCTGGGCCTGGGCTTGGTAGGGACCGAGCCGTGTCTCCCGTGTGGGACCCCCGGAGTGGGGGCTGGGGGTGGAAGCAGGCTCCTGCTTTTGGGGCCGTGCCGCCAGGATCGTGACATGGGCCGGTGGGTGCGATGGTGTTTTCCGTGTGAATGATCTGATGTGTTCTCTCCAGGATCAGGGCTGTGAGACACTGTGCCCCGTGCGCTGTCAGATTGGTGGGGGCGGGGACTCGGCCGGAGACGCATCATGGACTGCCCGGCGGGTGGCTCTGTGGCTGGTTGCTACCAGGCCTGCCTGGCTAATGCTGAGGAGAGAGGAAGCTGGTGCCCGCCCCAGGGCCTGTGCTGCCTGGGTGCCCACCCCCTCCCCTCCACCGCCCCCTCCCCTCCACCCGCCTCCTCCCCTCCACCTGCCCGCCCCCTCCCCCTCCTCCTGCCCACCCCCTCCCCCTGCCCACCTCTCCCTCCACTTGCCAACCCCCGTCTACCTTCCCCTCCCCTCCCTTCTCCCTCTCCCCCTGCCCACCCCCCCCATCTGCTCCCTCCCCTCTACCTGCCCCTTCCCCCTTTCCTCTCCCCTTCCACCTGTCCCCTCCCCCTGCCCACCTTCCTCTTTCCCCAGGTGGGGATGTCTTATGCAGGGGCCTAGAGGCAAGGTGGGACGGGCCTGCTGCTGCCCACACTGCCTTGCTCTGTGGCGATCCTGACCTGTCCCTGCCCCCCACAGGCACAGGGTGGGCAGCAGCTGGGAGGTCACCCATGTTGTCACAGGGCCCCGGAGGCGGAGTGCACTGTGGGTGCCCGGCGGCCCCGAGAGATGTCTTGGAGCACGGAGAATGGGGCCCGGTGTGCCGTGGCCCCAGGTGTGCTGTCCTCTGGCAACGCCACCCAGGTGGGGGGGGCCACCGCTGGGCAGGCCCTGGAGGCGAGGTGTTCCCGGGTCGCGCCTTGTGTTCGCACCCGTGTTTCTGGTAGAAAGGGGACCGGAGCTCCCGTGTCTGGGTGCCTGCGCCGCGGGTTGTGTCCAGCGTGCACTTGTGTGCGGTGACGGTCTGGTGGGTTTGCGAGCCACAGAGGCCTTTCCAGGCCCCCTGCGGGCAGGGCACGGGGCCCCGGGGGTCCCCCTTTGCCATCTGGCCTCTTTCTGCCCCCTCTCCCAGTACCTCTTTCCCGTTTCAAACTGTTTTCATTTGAGAGCATTCTTGAGGGGCCTCAGTTCATGGAGTTCCCGCTTCTGAAGTGACGTGCTGAGAAGCCGTGTCCCCGGCGACCGGCCCCACCCAGTCCGCCCAGGTTTGGCTTCTCTTTCTGGTGCTTCATCTTGCGGGGCTGTGTTGTGCACCCTGTGTGCTGAGTCCTCCCTCCTTCCTTCTTGTCTGTCTGCTTCCCCGCCTCTGCCTCAGGGGTCCCAGTGCCTGCGGGGCTCAACCTGGTGGCTCGTCTCTGGAGCGCCAGCCTGCGGCCAAGAGCCTGTGCTGGGGCAGATCCCTGCGTGGCAGCAGGACCTGTTGGTGGGCTTGCCCTGCAGAGCTCCAGGGCCAAGGCCCTCTGCTGCGTGGCGGTCTTGGGGTCCCTGATGTCCGAGTCCCCACCTGTCACCGACCTGGGCTCCCGCAGCAGCCTGAGGCAGGTCCCGGGGACGGTGGCCGATGGACAGTCCCGGCGTGAGCTCTGAGGCCCACCCTGGCCTCCTCCAGGAGGGCGGCGGTCACTGAATTATATTCGCTCTGCTGTGGCTTCTTGGGCACGTTGGGGGTCGAGTGGGTGTCGGGGGGAGGGTCCGGGTTGTCCCTGTCGTCTCCCTGCCTCCCATTGGTGTGAGGCCGGGCCGGGTCCTGGGCTCCCAGGGCCCTGACCTCTGAAGGGGGTGGGGAGGGTCTGGACACCAGCCCGGTCTGACTTGTAGCTGCTTCAAAGGCCGGAGGGGGCTCTTCCCAGGGAGCTGGTCCTGGGCACCGCCCTCCTGTCTCCCCGTCTCTCCTTCCTGTGGCACCAGAACAGACGCACGCACACACGCGTGTCTTTTGAGAGCCCAGCGTCCCCGCAGACAGGTGAGGGAGGAAAGTGCTAGGAAGGGGGTGGGGCCTGAGTGGCCAAGGGGCCCGGAGGAGAGAACAGGAAGAAAGCAGAAGCAGGGGCGGGCGCTTAGACCCCACAGGCCCACCCGCGGGGTGGCCTCGCTGAGTGTGCCTTGACAGGAGACAGCAGGGAAGTGGCAGGAAGGCTCACTAGTTAGTGTTCGGAGGCCTCTGCACAGGCTCACTGTCCCCCCAGCACCCCGGAGGCTGAGGAGAGGGCAGGGCGCCCGTCCCGTGTGCGGTCTTTCCTTTGACGATGTTGGAATTGTGCGTCCTGCCTAGGAAGCTTCCCTGCGCTCGGGTGAGCTGAGAATCCCCATTTCTTGTCTGCTGCACGTGTGTGTGTACGTGGGTCTGTCTCGACACTTCCTTATTCCGTCGGTTGACGTCTTCACGCACAGAGTTGCAGTTTTGGAAGCGCTCTGGTGTTTATTGTACTAGCTTTACGGAGAGAGAATTCACATACCCTGAAGCTCACCCTTTGGAAACGTATAGCCCAGCGGTTTTCGGGCTGTTCACAGAGCTGTGCCTCCGTCAGCACTCTCTCATTCCAGAACCTTCTCGCCGGCCTAAAAGAAAGCGCACAGCCAGGAGCAGTCCGTCCCCATCCCTCTGCCCCAGCCTCCGGCAGCCGCCTGTCTGCTTTCTGTTCCCACGGATTTGCTCGTGCTGGACGTGTCTCCTAAGTGGAACCACACACGTGTTGTTTCCGTGCCGGATCCTTTCTGCCCGTAGAATGTTCTCCAGATCCGTCCGTGTCGTGGCCTTTGCCCGCCTGTCATTCTCAGGATGTCGGGTCTGGGGATAGTGGTCCTTCCCGTTAGTTGTTTGCTGTTTTCCTGGATATCGTCTGTTCCTCTTGCCTTTCCACGCGCACTCACCCTCAGCCTCTGAGCTCCCTAAGGAAGCTCGCTGGGGTTTTTATCGGGGTGGGACAGCGGACATCTTCATGAGGCCGGGTCGTCCCATCCGGGAGCAGGGGGGGGGGGTCTTTCTGCTGGAGCGGTTCTGCCCCTCTGTCCCCCTGGAGTGATTTACAGGTTCCTCTTAGACGTGCTTCCCGGTTCCT